CCGTCGGCACCTCAGGTTCAGTGCGCCCCCGAGGGGAGAAAAGGGGCTCCAGAGGGAGCGATGGGGCGGGGGTCCCTGAGGGCTGGTGACGAGGGGCTCCCAGGTATCCCGAGGGTAGAGGAGGGGGACTGGCCCCCGAAGGGAGAGATGGGGAGTTCACCGGGGTGGACGGGGGACAGGTCCCCGAGGGGTAAGCCGAGGGGTGGGCGTTCCCGAGGGGAGACACTGAGGGCTCCCGGGGGTCCTGAGGGAGAGAGACGGGGGTCCGCGAGGGGGACACCGGGGGCCGGTCCCCGAGAGACCCGGAGGCTCGGCGCCGCCCTCAGTGAGCTTTGGTAGGGAGGGACCGCCTTCAGCCTGAGGACCTAACCGGCCCCTTACCTGGTCGGTCCTGGGAGCCACGAATGCTTTTTCCGCGTTAGTAGTTGGCGGGGGGCCGGGGGCGGGGGTGGAGGTATTTTGCATTTGTGAAGATGGGGTGAAGTTTCCCAGGCGCAGTTCGCGCGCTGCCAGGGCTGACAGGTGGGGTGCCCCTCACCGCGGGGGCCTTGCTCGCTCTCCGCCTGGGAGAGTGGACGCAGTGGCCACTGTCTCATTCGGGTCCCCGGCGGAGAAATGGTTAAGTCTTCCTGGGATGTTGGTTAAAAGGCCCCTGAGTGTTGGGCACATAGAGTGGACGTTGAAAGCGGATTTTAACAGGTGGGTATTGGCATAGGAGGGAACATGGTTGCCACCTGAGCCACATTTGTGTATGTGACGTATACTGTGGGTTATCATAGACAACACGGACGGGGTGAGCAGCAGGGTGAGAGTGCGGTTGGGACTAGGTCAGGGGCGGACAGGCTCCTAGGGAGGAAGGTGTGCAGAGGCAGAGGGGGCACCGCAGGCGTCTGGAGTGCAGAGGGTGGCTGGACAGACATCAGTGCAGACAGACATTAATTCTGCACACGCCTCTCCAGCTGATGGCCAGGAGGAGGCTGCATGCTGGGGGCAAGAGGGGGGGACGCCAGCAGCAGCAGGCACAGTTCCCACCCTCGGAAATGGCTTACATGCCCACTGGGCTCTGGATTCAGAATTGGCGTGTCACTGTGTTCGTAGGACAGTTCCAGACCTGTGATGCCGTGGCCTTCCTTTCTCCTCCCTCGTAGGATTCTAGGACAGGTCGGACACGCTGTCACCATGCCTGAAATCAACACCGACCATCTCGATGAGCAGCAGGTTCAGCTCCTGGCAGAGATGTGCATTCTTATTGATGAGAATGACAACAAAATTGGGGCTGAGACCAAAAAGAATTGTCACCTGAATGAAAACATTGAGAAAGGTACTGTGTTGAAATACTGTGTGAGAAAGTGACACGCCTGGGCATTGCAGGGCAGCTGAGGAAAGTATGTGGGTAAAGGTGTGACCTTCAATCACATCATAGTTTATCTCTGCTTCCAGGTAGGCGAGTGGTGTAATTATACAACCTGTCTTGCTGCTTTCCCTGCTTAACAGCTATTCCACTTCATGTCTTTTATACATATACTAGAGGCCTGGTGCACGAAATTCGTGCACTGGGAGAGGGTGCGGGATGGGTCCCTCAGCCCAGCCTGCACCCTCTCCGATCTGGGACCCCTCCTGGGATAACTGGCAGTTGGACATCCCTCTCACAACCCTGGACCGCTGGCTCCTAATCACTCACCTCCCTGATTGCCCCTAACTAACACCC